TTCCTCCATTTGTTTGTTTCAATTAATTGTCAGGTCTGTTAGTCCAAATGATAATCTAAGTGTGCTCTATTGTACATAGGGTTTTTGAAGACCTGTAATTTCAGATTCGGATGGAAAATCCTTCTTCCTAGTCTGTCTCAATTTTCTGACAGACAAGCATTCTACAGAAAAAAGTAGATGAAAGACATTTACTAGTTAGAAAGGCCACTATTCAATGTTGCTGCCCACCTGGCTACATGTTTGCTTGGTTTTGGGTTTTGGGGTTTTTTGGTTGGTTTTTGTTTTGTTTTGTTTCGTTTTTAAATCGACCCTTTCCCTACTCCACTACCAACCCTTCCTACTTTTGCTTACAACATTCAACACTCATCTCCCATTGACCAGCCCCTGATGTGATGTCTTAATTCTCAAGCAATCATGATTTCTCTAATTCTGACCATATTATGCTGCTGTCAGCTTCTTATGATGCGGTCAGTATGACTTCAATTTAAAGTTCTTAAGTACAACTGTCATGTACAGCTTCTTTTCCTGGAAGATCCTGAGAAAAAGGTCTCTTAAACTTCCACTCCAAGATTGACTTCTTGTGGGTTAATACCATTTGTCTTCTGTTTGCAGCCTGGTGCTGATGCAAGCGGATGGCTTCTTAGTAGAGAAAATGTGTCCTCCAGGACCAGTGTACAACTTTTGTTTCATGGCCTTCGGGCCCAAAACTAAATCTCTGGCAAATGGCGACCTTCTGTCTTTCCTTGGGGTACCTGAAAGAGGCGTGGAGATGAGGAAAGCTCCAAACAATATCATCGATATCACATGCAAGCAAGATTCTGCTGAAACTTATCCAAAAACGTTTGGACAATATGTCAACAGAGAACTGCCAGATGTGCCAGATGTGTCAGATGTGCAGGCTGGATTTAGAAGCGGTCGCGGTACTAGGGATATTATAGCAAATGTAAAATGGATTTTGGTAGAAAGCAGAAAATAACAGAAGAATGTCTATCTGTCTTTCATTGACTATGCAAAGACTTTTGACTGTGTGGATCACAACAAGCTATGGCTGACTCTGAGAAGAATGGGAATCCCAGAACATTTGATTGTGCTAATGTGAAACCTATACTTGGACCAGGAGAAAGTTGTCAGAACAAAGCAGGGAGACACTGGCTGGTTCAAAATAACAAAAGGGGTCTGTCAGGGATGTATTTTGTCCCCATACCTTTTCAATCTGTATGCAGAACAGATCATCTGAGACACTGGGCTTTACAAGGAGGAATATGGCATCAGGATTGGTGCAAGAATCGTCAACAACCTGCGTTATGCAGATGACACAACCCTGCATGCTGAAACTGGGGAGGACCTGAAGCGCATGCTGCAGAAGGTCAAAGACTGCAGTCTTCAATATGGATTGAAGCTCAATATCAAAAAAACAAAGATTCTCACCATTGGGCCAATTGGCAGCATCAGTATGGATGGTGAAGAGATTGAGATAGTTAACAGTTTTAGTTTGCTTGGCTCCACAGTCAACACTCTTGGTAACAGTAGCCAGGAGATCAGGAGACAAATTGCATTGGGAAAGTCAGTGGTGAGGGACCTCTCAAGAGTACTGAAGTGCAACGACATCAGGCTGGAGACTAAGGTGCGCCTGATCCAGGCTATAGTCTTTGCAATTACATGCTATGCATCAGAGAGTTGGACAGTAACTAGGGAGGATAGAAAGGGAATTGATGCCTTTGAGCTGTGGTGCTGGAGAAGAGTGTTGAATATACCATGGACTGCTAGGAGAACAAACAGGTTTGTCCTGGAGAGGGTGAAGCCAGAATGCTCCTTGGAGTCAAGGATTCTGAAGCTTCCTCTGACATACTTTGGACATGTTGCAAGGAGGGACTTGTCCTTGGAGAGGGACATCATGTTTAGGAGAGTGGAGGGACGGCACAGGAGAGGAAGACCATTGATGAGATGGATCCATTCTGTGAGTGGAGTGGTGGGAATGAATGTGTTTGAGACAGCGAGGTTGGCACACTATAGAACAGTGTTTAGGGCTCTTGTACATAGGGTCACTATGAGTCACAAATGACTCTATGGCACATAACAACAACAACAATGTTTGTTTACAACAACAACACGTTTGTTTCTCAGCATTCTAGTGCAATGTTCTGGGTGTCTTCTGGCATCCCTCTCAGTCTTTTCTTCCTCCTCTATCTTTGTAATGACCTTTTGTTTTCTGAATGGATGATGTTCTTTACATCATCCCATCACCTTTTCTGTTCTTCATTCAGCCTGTAGAGAGTTGAGTACCTCCCATTTGTGAACACACCTAATAACTGACTGACTGACTGACTGACTGACTGACTGACTGAATACTTCTGGAGTTTTGTGCCTTCCAGAATGCATGTGAAGAATTCCTCCATACAGCTTCCCAGGATGTAATTATCATGAACAGTCCTCCCCTGACCACTATCTCATTGCCTACTAGTCAGAACCAACACTAAGTTAACAATTCATGGTTTGTTGTTGTTGTTGTTAAGTGTCATCTAGACAGTGTCCTTAATACAACACTTAGGAACACTCTATAGACTTATTTTGGGGGGGAGTCTGTTGTTATTTTTGGTCTGTAAGTTACTCTGGAGGGATTTTTTTATCTTCCTCTTTCAGAGCCCCTGGTGAATTTGAATTGCCTGCCTTTTTTATGGCAACACATCTTATTGATACTGTTTTAAAGTCCAATCACATTGAATACAGCTCATAGTGACTCTATGAACAAAGATCTGAACCCGATCCTATCCTATGCCAACCACACAATTTCTGATGCACTCAACTCCATTGCTGCAGCCATTGTGTCAATCCATTTGTGTGAGGGTTTCCTCTCTTTTGCAGTCTCCCCACCTATTCCATGCATGATATATTCCTCTCCAAGGACTAACTTTGCCTAGTAAAAGCTTTAGGAAGATCTCTAACATAGGCCCCTTTCTAAAGTTGGACTGGTGAGTAGTGTGCTTAAGGTATGCAATGAGAACGACAAAAGAAAAAGTTAATTTCCAGGAATACCATGCCTGGGTATCAGGAACAGTATGGGGTTACCGCAGGATTCATTGTGTTTGATCCCAGGTATTACTGCAGCCATCTGCCTCCATCTGTGCTGTGCCCAGTAGCCCTCATCTCTGTGACCCCTCAGATGTGGCTACTGCAGTCTCCCTACTCCTTCCTCTCCTGGGATTTGAAAAGCATTAGGGACAACGTGTAGCTCTGCCTTGCTATGCAGACTCAGGAATCCTGGTTCAGGCCCTGGGGATAAGGAGGCAAATACTGCCCAGATGATTAATGACTTTATGAGTGGAACAGTTATTCAATTTCCTGATTTTCTACTAAATGGAGTCAGGTGTAGTCCATAATCAAGTTATCTATGTCTTCTCTTTTTTTCCTACCTTTTGTTAAGTTTCCATTGGCTTGTCAATTTTATTGACCCTTTCAAAAAACCAGTTCCAGGTCTTATTGGTGGTTTCAATTGTTTTTTTCTGTTTTTTATCTCATTGCTTTCAGCTCTTGTTCTTATAATTTCTTTTCTTTTATAGGTTGTAGGATTAGATTGTTGTTCTTTTTCTATTTGCTGAAGGTGTTGAGTTAGACGACTGTTTCTTCTTCTTTCTTCCTTTTTTATGTGTGTTCCTATTTCTGTGAACTGGCCCCCGAGGACTGCCTTAGCTGTGTCTCAGAGATTTTGGTAAGTTGTATGTTCATTACCATTTGTTACAAGGAACTTTTTTATTCTGTTTCTGTTATATCCCAATCATGCTCTAGCTGAGAGTTACTCAATATCTACATCAATGGTTTTGTAAGTTTTACTCTCCTGTGGTTAATGTCTAGTTTTATGACATTGTGATCTGAGAAGATACTTTGTATTAATTCAATGTTTATTTAATTTGTTGAGGCTTGCTTTGTGTTTTATAATATATGATTAATTCTGGAGAATGTACCATGTGTGCTTGAAAAGAAAGTTAATTGAGTTTTAGTTGAACGCAGTACCCTGAATACATTCACAAAGTCAAGTTGGCTGATTGTATAGTTTAGATCTTCTGCATCTTTGTTGAGTTTCTTTTCAGTTCACCTATCCTTTGGTGATAGTGGTGTATTGAAATCTCCCATCACTACTGTGGTGCTAATTTTCTCTTCAATTCTGTTAACTGTTGTTTTATGTATTTTTCAGGTCTATCATTTGGTGTCTTAATATTGACCAAGATTATGTCTTCTTGATCTGTTGTGCATTTAATCAGTATGTAACACCCTTCTTTATCTTAGATGGTGGTTTTCATTCTGAAATCTATTTTATTAGTGATTAGTATTGCTGCTTCTGCTTTTTTGAGGTTGCTATTTGCTTCGTATTTTTTTCCCAGACTTTGATTTTGAGTCTATATTTCTCTTCTTTTTCTAGATGTGTTTCTTGTAAGCAACATATTGATGGGGTTTGTTTTCTTATCTCTTCTGCTATTCTTTTTCTCTTAATTGGTGCATTTAGTCCATTCACATTAAGTGTGATTATTGTGTGGTCAAGTTTTATTTTTGCCATTTTTCTTTGTTTCTTTTACTTTTGTTTCTGGTTACTATGGTCCATGCACTTTCCTTTGGTGTCTTCATGTGCAGGACTTCACTTAATATGTCTTGTTGTTTAGTCTTAAAATTCCTTAAGTTCCTTCTTTTCTGCATAGAATCTGATTTCCCCTTCATATTTGTTGGAGAACTTTGCTGGGTAAAAGGATCCTTGGCTGGCAAGTATTACCATTTACATTTCTGTATACGGCATCCCATTGTTTTCTAGCTTGTATGGTTTCTGCAGAGAAATCAAAACTTAATCTTTGTTTCTCCCTTGTAGGTTACTCTTTGTTTGTCTCATGTTGCTTTTAGAATTCCATCCCTACCTTTTAATTTGGAGTATTTGGCTATGGTATGTCTTGGTGTTTTTCTTTTGGGGTCTAGTCTATTTGCTTCTCGAATGTGGTTTCCACCATTCTTCAACATACCTGGGGAATTTTCTTCGAGTACTTCTTCCACAATCTCAGTGATTTCTCTGCCACTACCCTGAATGCTGAATAAAGTTGCAACTGGGTTCATAATTTCTAGACGCTGAAGTATAAAGATTCAAATCACATCATTCATAGAATAAAAGAAATGAGGGGATAAAGAGTCCTGAGTTTAGAGTGCACAAGTGAGAAGAAGGTAGATGTAAAAGTATGTGTCTAATAGAAGGAATGAGCTAATACCTGGAAATCCTAGATCTCTTTTAAAGTATATCGTCTCTTGAAACATAGTTTCCGGAATTTCATGTGGTTTCAGAGCTTATAGAACGATCAGGAAGGCTTTTTATGGGGAGGGATAGTTTTTTTTTCTTGATTTTTCTTATTGGATTGCTTACAAAGTTAATATATATCGTGTTTCACACTATTTATTCACAGTGTGTTTCATACCATCATTCTCATACATTATGGGGGGGGTTGCGCTTTTTCCATTTTTAATTTTTTTTTATTTTAATGAACATTTACAGAGACTGGATTTTCATTCATTCATTATTGCACACTTATCTCCCTGCCTACTCCTCCCCGCAATT